TGAAAAGCTTATGGTGAAAGCACCAGCAGAGAGCATCGGTGTGGCCCAGCCAAAAGGGTGGATGAATAGTGACTTTTTTGCAATATCTAAGAATATTCGTCAAAGACACATGTGCAGACATACCAGAGCGTGGAGATGGCTACATATGTGATCAATGCCGGTTATTTTGAAACGTCCGGTACTAGGTGCCACTGTTTAAAATCATATTTGTTGATACCAAAGTTTGATTGATAGTACTAATTATTTTTAGCAAAGATTGCGGTTTTGTTAATTTAGTTCGATTTATAACTTTAGTATCTAACATAAATCATAATTTAATAAACATTTCGTAAAATATTTTTTGATTTATTTATAAATAACCTTAGGTGTCCGCCACTAGGGGACTTCCCCCTATATTTAACGTTTATAATCGAATCTCATTCTTATATAACAGTGTTTTTCTTTTAATTAACGTTATTGTTACATTTTTCTCTCTTGACGTTGGTTTGTTTATTTTCTATATTTTTTCTGTTTAAATAATACAAATTAATTTAATTTTAAATTAATATACCAAAATATATTATCCACCTGCATATTAGAAAAGACAAACAGGAAACTATACGTTGATGAAACATGTCAACATAGTTTGAATTCAGGCAACATTTACGAAACATATAAAATATATATTGAATTTAAATTATGTGTATGTAACAGCGTATACGTATATTTAACGTTAATGTTACGTTAATGTTGTTCAAAAAGGCTTTTTAAATAATTAAAATTAAAAATAAACTAGTTGAAAGTGGCATTTTACCTTAAGGCAAGTTGCATGAACTTCCCGAAATGTGTAAGAATTGACTTAATTAACTGAAGTTGAGATTTAGATATTTTTAGATAAATTTTTTTAAAGAAATTTCTAATGGTTTGGTCGATCTTCTCGTAAACCTAGTCATGACTCTTATAGAATTTATTTCAATGGCTTTTAAATTTGTGAAATCCAAATTTTGACTTATCAAATCACAAAAGCAATTTTTGGCACTAATTTTTATTATTTTATTTTTTTCAAACTTTGATGATTTTTAAAATTAAACGACTTGTCGTAGGGCCGATCTATCTCTGCTCTTTTTTTCAGAAAAGCTTTTAAAATTTTTAAAAATTATGATATTTTTTTTCAAAAGTTAATTACAAGAAAACGGCTCGGCTGATTGTCACCAAAAACTAATCAGTATCATTCTTCACAAATATCTTTCAAGCTGTTTTTGAATTTTAAAAATCGATTCAGATTTTTTGGTTAAAACATGGACGGAAAATTTTGCACTATTCTGCATATTATAAAGTAACGGCTCGGTCGATCGTGGAACAAAACTGACAAATTGATAAGGACAAACGCAAGTCCTTATCGAGAGACATCGAATTCGGTCCAGCCGTTTCTGAGAAAACATCGATTTAAGGCAAAATATCTGTTCACATACACACACATACCTTTTTCAAATTTGGTCTCAATCGATTCAGAATGGCTTGAAACGTCGAGAAAACATAAAATTAGCAAATCCATTTTTTTTTTGTGAACATGTTTCTTTTACAACAATAAGCATTTAAACGAGATTTTTATGAAATTTCTCCATACGTAGCATTAACAATTTTCAAAATTACATATACAATTTTTTATAATCCTTAAACTCCTATCCTATACACCACTAGTTAACTAATTTTTCGCAACTATACTTTTTTTAACGATCCTTCAATTTTTCTCCGAAAGTGATTCGAATTTACAAGTGGCCTAAACAACGACTCCGTGGCGCAACGGTAGCGCGTCTGACTCCAGATCAGAAGGTTGCGTGTTCAAATCACGTCGGGGTCATAGAATTATTTTTTATCATTATTTTAATTAATTTATATTATTTACACTATTTATTATTATTATAAACATGAACAAATGATTAATTTTTATTAAAAACGCCGTAATAGCCAATTAAAACTAAGATAAAAATTGCTATTGCTTGGGTGGAGCGACTAGGGCGGATGCTGAAAACGCCATTATAAAGTGAAAAAAATAGAAATAGTAAGGTAAAAAATTTTCCTCCCAACCAATTTTATAACATTTATATACAAGCATTTTATAACATTTTATAGCATTTTATAACAATTATATACAAGCAAATAAAATAAAAGTGTAAAGATAAAAAAAATTGTATTAGGCAAACAGAAACTTATGTTGAACTTAATTTCTTTATCGATAGGTGAGCGTTCATACTTATATGTATTTTACTCCTATTATCAATAATATAAAAATGAATCGCAAAATGTGTTGGTAAGCGCATAACTCAACAACGCCTGGACCAACTTGGCCAATTCTTTTTTTTTAAATGTTCGTTGAAGTCCAAAGATGGTTCTTAAGGCGAGAAAAAATCGAATAATTGCCGGGAAAACCCTAAAAACAGCCTTTTTCTTTTTCTCATACAAACGTTTTCTAACAAAAACGTAGAATCAATTTGAGCTTTATTGATATTATATAAAGTTCATATCAAGCACTCAGTGTATACTCCTCCTAAACGATTATTCGGATTTTGATAAATCTTTCTGAAGTTTATTAAGGAAATTTTCGAGAATGTATGTGATTATAAAGTACTGGGATGTATGTGCAATATTGTAGAAATTCAGAGAAAAGAATGTAAAAACCGACATGTCATTGTTTAAAGCAGCTCTACATTTAACATCGCTCATATTATAAGCAATTTAAAAATAATTTATTTTTAGGTAAATGGTAAATATTAGTATATAATGTACTAATATTTACATTTACATGTCTACAATTTTTTTAATATAATATACTGTATATTATATTAAAAAATTTTAGACATGTGTACAGGTCAACGTCTGTCGGGTCATCTAGTTATTATATGTATTTTATTATAGAAAATGTATATGACTGATGTACGTGTATACAAAGTCAACAAAGTCAACAAATAAACAATGAAAAAAAAGATGAAAAGTGACTTCAGGATTCTCACAATTAGTTAATTTATAATGTTTATCCTTTGGAATAAGCTTATTTGTTCAAATTTATAAGAAAAAATAAACAAATGTTCCATAAATATTTGCAGAAGCAAAAATTATTAACTTGCCGAAGGAGGAGTATGTGTGTTTTTTATCTATAGCGAAGGAAATCCATATTTATGCATCGCAGACTAGGTCTTTTGTCTGGGTATGTCGGACTCAATTCGCCCTGGTAATAAATGATTAATTTTTATTGTTATAGCCAATTAAAACTAAGATAAAAATTGACTTCAGCATTCTCATAATTAGTTAATTGATATTGTTTATACTTTTGAATAAGCTTATTTTTCTGTATTTACAAGAAAAAATAAACAAATGATCCATAAATATTTGCAGAAGCACAAAAAATTAACTTGCCGAAGTAGGAGTATGTATTTTTTGCTATAGCGAAGGAAATGCATATATGCATCCCAGACTAGGTATTTTGTCTGGGTATGTCGGACTCAATACCGCCTGGGTATAATATCGACTAAAACCTCCGCTCAATGGAAAACGCCGTTAGGCATAAGCTTGTGGGGGAAGGTTCTAGAATGTTATAATTCTTGCACTGAAATTACACTTACATCAAATGAGCGAAGTATCATTCGCTATTTCTCTTAGAAGAAGTATGTGTGTGTGTGTGTGAACAGATTTTTGACCTTTCGTCTAAGTTTTCTCAAAAACGACTGGACCGATTTTAAAAATTTAAAGGCCATTCGATGTATCTCGTTGAGGACTAGCGTTTCTCATTTCTATTTGACGATCGTCCGAGCCGTTTCTTTGTAATTAGCAAAAAAGTGAAACGTTTTTGTTCACGATATAGTCAAAAATTCTGAATCGATTCTAGAAAATCAAAACTGGTTGGAAATCGTGCTGATTTGTTCTGGACAAAGATCGGTCGACCCGTTTCTGAGTAGTTTTAAGAAAAATTAAATTTAATGAAACTTTTTATGTTGATAGATATCATGATGCTAAAAAAATATACTAAAATATTACAGCCCTACGACAAGTCGTTTAATTTTAAAAATTCATCAAAGTTTGTAAAAATATGAGTAAAAATTGGTGTCAAAAATAGTCATAATTGGTGTCAAAAAACACTTTTGTAATGTGGTGAGTCAAAATTTTAATTTAACAAATTTAAAAGCAATTGAAATAAATTAGATAAGGAAGAGCCTTTATTAGATTTGCGGAAAGATCGACCAAACCATTAGAAATTAGAATTGCATTTATCAAAAAAAGTTAGCAGGTCACAAAACTTGTGTGTAAATCTAAATCTAATTGTGTAAAATAAATAAATAAATCATTAAATAATATCAGCGACCACGTACATAATATATGTAATCGTGTAAGTATTTTCTTGTAGCAGATGCTTAATATTTCATAAAATAATTTATTAAGCCTTTTTAAATAATATTTCGACGTTTATCATGAAATTTAAACAGTCCTAAAAAATTGGTTGTATTACTTATATAAATGAATTAAAACTTGGAATAATAAGCTTCAATTTAAAGATATATAAACACGTATCTGTGCACTATAATTAATATAATAATTACAGATATAAATGTGTGGGAAATAGAAATCTTCAGATTTAATGGATAGTAAAAAGTTTATTTTCGAAATAATAAGTTGAAAATTTTATCTAAATATCTAAATCTCAATTTCGTTTGATTAAGTCAATTATTACACATTTCAGGAAGTTTATGCAAATTGCCTTAAAGCAAAATGCCACTTGCAACTAGTTTTCTGTATTTTTAAGAAAAAACAAGTATTATTCCATAAATTTTTGCAGAATCACGAATTATTTATGTTATCAATTAAAAATAAAAATAAATTCAAAAATTACCTTTTTCCCGCCAGCAACTGTCAACGTCCCTCCTCCGCCAACTTCACTCTTATCTCAATTTGACACTTGCACACTTTTGACGTATGTGGCTGCTCCTGTCATAAACAATGATTACATTAAATTAATTAAGTGGAATTTTTATCATTTTATATAGTAAATTTTATTGTGATATCGTTAAAAAGGATAAAATGTTCAAAAAACTAAAGGATAAAATCGCTGAAGAGGTGAAATCGTCGCCGCAAAGGATACAACAGATTGCACAGGTTCTTTGATTTGTTGACTTTTGTATGGAACGAATGCCTCGCCTAATCGAGACTCTTATCGAGTGGCCTAAATAAAATGTATTTGTGAAATTTAGATTGATAAAAGGATATAAGATTTGTAGGTTTATAAATTACGGTTTAATAGGCAAAATTTGGTGTTTGTTCAAGGAATTTATGCAGGAATTTGGTTTTGTTTGAGGTGTATATGTTGAGAAATTTTTGAGGTTAACTGCATACATTTATTTACTGATAAGGTATTTTTGAATATTTTAGGAAGATTTATATAAAAACATCGAAAGACGTTTACAATAGCCTTGTATGTATGCAGATAAAATATTTTTGTTACCCATTGCAATCAGAATAATGAATAAAACGATTTATATAATTTACTCGAAGGAAAATCTAAGAACTTAGTACCGAAGAACAACCTCATACTATATCATACATGCTCATCTTTATTTTATTCTACTCGAAGACAAACTTGGAAATTGCTAGCAATTTGTTAAATTCAATACAATCTTGTACTTTCTTATATGTTTTATATTTTATTCTAGTCGAAGACTAATCTGTGAATTTATTCTATGTTTAATACCATCTCGTATATGATAATAACCTTTTCAACTTCTTTTTATATGTAACTGGTATAATTTAAATTCTTTTATTTTGTATCCAATAGTTATAAACATATACATATACATGTATATAGTTTTCTTAATGGCAAATTCAGGAATTCCTCTATTTAAAGTCATTTATTTCTATGATTATTTAATCAATCTCTTTTTGTATTGGCCGAAAAACACCCAGATATATTATATTATATTCCGTACCATTCAAACAATAATTCTAGCCATCTGATAATTAAACTTGTCATCTAATTCTTAATTTAATTTCATACTTTTTATAAAATCTTTTTTTTCTTGTATCAATCGTGTTTTGACCAAAATATAATTATACAATTATAATCTTTGTATATAAGCATAAGAAATGCATAATTTGCAGTAATATAAAATTACAAATTTTAATTGCATTACTTGGATAAAATAAATAGAGGAAATTAATAAAATTGATGATTAATATTCATTGAATGACTTTTTCAATATTAAAAACAGAATGAACTAGGTGTAAGTGTTTTTTTGCTTTAAGACAAGTTGCATGAATTTCCCGACATGTGTAAATAATCAAATTAATCAATAATAAACCAATATATTAATTTATGAGTGATTTTTTAAATATATCGAGTTACTGTAAAGCCATATAATGTTAGAAACTTTTGTTTTAACAACATTATCACTCCGTATTCTGAATTATTATATTTGTCATCCAATTTTTAATTAAATTCCATACTTATAATTCATATTTCATAAATTATGTAATATTTATTATAAGCAACATTATGTGAAATTATTAATAAAGTCACTGTTATAAGGCTTGTATGTAAATATTAAAAAATGCAATATGCAAACATATAAAATAAGAAAATTAAGTAATAATAATTACATTTCTAAGTTAAAAATAGAGAAAGACGATGTTTATAGTACAATAATTAAATGTGAAGAAAAATCAGAACGTATCAAATAATATTTATTAAATTACTTTTTCAAGTAGTATTTAGGAGTAAATAAATACTAATTTTATTTATCTATCGAGCTAGCATGTTTTTTTTTTACTATTAATCATTCTATTTATATTTCTATTCTATTTATATTGATTTACAATCTGTTATTTTATTTATAATCCAGACAAGAGTGTAAACATTATTATTTTGTTTGTATTTGCATTAATTAAATATTTATCCAGTTGTTCATTATGTTTTGAAATATTTGTGTCGTTCATTGAAATGGTATTTAAAAATGTAAACAAATTTAAAAATCTCTATTTTAGGCCGTTGTCAGTTCTGCATCGAGCACCACTTCAGAAGTTTCAGGAACCGATACATTTTTTAGCATAGCAGAAGAAGGTAAAAAAATATATCTTATATAAAATATATCTTATATATAAAATTCTTCTCTAATGATGTATGTAATATACTTCTTCTAATCGATTATTCGGATTTTGATAAATCTTTCTCAAGTTTGTTAAAGGAATTTTTTAGGATGTAAATGATCATAAAAATATAGTAATATTGTAGGATGGAAAAAATTGCATAAAACGACATGTCATTGTTTGATATTGAAAATATTTGAGACATTTTTTGGCATTGAAAACAAATGAAAACTGTCAGCTGACAAAAAATTCAATTTACTTATGAGTCTAGACAATATTAGAATATGTATAATAAATTAATGACTATGAATAAGAAAAATGAAATATTTATATTATTATTGTCAAAAAGCAGCTGAGATGTGCCAGAAATTAAAATAATATAAAATACAGTATATTTATGGCAGATTGAATGATACACATATGAACAGGATTTGACAAAAAATTCACTTAAAATATGAAATTAAGTAATAATCAGGGCTGGTCTTTGGGGGGCGCCAACAGAAGATTTAGATAAGAAATTTTGAATATAGATTGTTATTATTATTATCTTTTCCAGACACTCCTCAAAATTCTCCCCAGCACATCACAAACAGCAACAGCACAAACAGTCTTTCATCCCTCACGAGTTCTGTTACCAGTACAAAAACACCTACTCTAAATGTATCGAATAGTGAAACCACAACAAACGATAGATTGAACAATTCCAACAATTATAACGACCAGACTAGTAATCGAAACAGGAAAGTATCCACCGGTTCAGTTGGGAGTGATGTGTCATTCAGATTACCCAGTTATGACTCCCCTGCTGTATACCACCTACAGGTATAATAGATAAAATAATCAAAGCCATGGTAATGGATGTAGTTTTAATAATGATGATGATTGGGAATGTTTTTTCAGTCCGATCTGGACATGTCAGCAAGTGAAGTCGAGTCTCCATCAAGTATCATTTTGGATAGGGTTAGTAAAGAACAGTTGCACCAGGCTTATCGTCGAGCCCTGGATAATCACCAGAAATACAGAAGGCGATATGCTGACTTAGCAAAGAAATATGGAGAGTTGGAAAGGGAAAACTCTAAAGCTCGGGTAAATAAATAAAAATATATATAAATAAATAAATAAATATATATATATATATATATATATAATATATATATATATATATATATATATATATATATATATGTTATGGTAAATGTGCATTCTTGGTGAATGTGGAAGTTCCCAAACAATCAATTTAAAAGAATCTTCTTTAAAAACATCTTGCGTATTTGGTGCATGCGCACTAAATAGTTAATCAGTAAATAGTTAATAGTAAAGCAGTAATATAGTGTATAGTGAATAATTAATATTAAATAGTAAATAGTTAATAGTTCATTGTTAGTAAAATAGTAAATAGTGAATAGTGATAACTGAATAGTTAAATAGTTAGTAGTTGAATATTGAATAGTTAATAGTGAATTGTAATAAGTGAATAGTTATTAGTAAACAGTGAATTTAAAATAAAATAGTAAATAGTGAATAGTTAAATAGTGAATAGTTAATATTTAAATAGTTATGAGTAAATAGTGAATAGTTAATATTTAAATAGTTATGAGTAAATAGTTAATAGTTAAAAAGTAAATAGTTAAATAGTAAATAATTAACTAGTTAATGGTGAATAGTAAATAGCAAATAGTGAACAGTGATAACTAAATAGTTTAATAGTTTATAGTTTATAGTGAATAGTTAATAGTTAATAGTGAATAGTTAATAGTAAATAGTAATAGTTAATAATTAATAGTAAATAGTAATAGTAAATAGTGAATTAAGAATCGTTGAATTGTGGATAGTTAAATAGTGAATAGTTAATAGTTAACAGGTAAATAGTTGAATAGTGAAATAGTGAATAGTGATAGTGATAACTGAATAGTTAATAGTGATAACTGAATAGATAATAGTAAATAGTAATAGTTAATAGTAAATAGTTATTAGTAAGTAATGAATTAAGAATAGTTGAATTGTGGATAGTTAAATAGTGAATAGTTAATAGTTAATAGGTAAATAGTTGAATAGTGAAATAGTGTATAGTGAATAGTGATAACTGAATAGTTAATAGTGATAACTGAATAGATAATAGTAAATAGTAATAGTTAATAGTAAATAGTTATTAGTAAGTAATGAATTAAAGATAGTTGAATTGTGGATAGTTGAATTGTGAATAGTTAATAGGCAAATAGTTGAATAGTGAAATAGTGATAACTGAATAGTGAATAGTGATAACTGAATAGTTAATAGTAAATAGTTAATAGTAAATAGTTAATAGTAAATAGTTATTAGTAAATAGTTATTAGTAAATAGTGAATTAAGAATAGTTGAATTGTGGATAGTTAAATAGTGAATAGTTAATAGTTAATAGGTAAATAGTTGAATAGTGAAATAGTGTATAGTGAATAGTGATAACTGAATAGTTAATAGTAAATAGTTAATAGTAAATAGTTAATAGTTAATAGTAAATAGTTATTAGTAAATAGTTATTAGTAAATAGTGAATTAAGAATAGTTGAATTGTGAATAGTTAAATAGTGAATAGTTAATAGTTAATAGGTAAATAGTTGAATAGTGAAATAGTGAATAGTTAATAATAATAACTGAATACTAATAATGATAACTAAATAGTTCATAGTAAATAGTAATAGTTAATAGTAAATAGTTATTAGTAAGTAATGAATTAAGAATAGTTGAATTGTGGATAGTTAAATAGTGAATAGTTAATAGTTAATAGGTAAATAGTTGAATAGTGAAATAGTGTATAGTGAATAGTGATAACTGAATAGTTAATAGTGATAACTGAATAGATAATAGTAAATAGTAATAGTTAATAGTAAATAGTTATTAGTAAGTAATGAATTAAAGATAGTTGAATTGTGGATAGTTGAATTGTGAATAGTTAATAGGCAAATAGTTGAATAGTGAAATAGTGATAACTGAATAGTGAATAGTGATAACTGAATAGTTAATAGTAAATAGTTAATAGTAAATAGTTAATAGTAAATAGTTATTAGTAAATAGTTATTAGTAAATAGTGAATTAAGAATAGTTGAATTGTGGATAGTTAAATAGTGAATAGTTAATAGTTAATAGGTAAATAGTTGAATAGTGAAATAGTGTATAGTGAATAGTGATAACTGAATAGTTAATAGTAAATAGTTAATAGTAAATAGTTAATAGTTAATAGTAAATAGTTATTAGTAAATAGTTATTAGTAAATAGTGAATTAAGAATAGTTGAATTGTGAATAGTTAAATAGTGAATAGTTAAAGTTAATAGGTAAATAGTTGAATAGTGAAATAGTGAATAGTAATAATAATAACTGAATACTAATAATGATAACTAAATAGTTCATAGTAAATAGTAATAGTTAATAGTAAATAGTTATTAGTAAGTAATGAATTAAGAATAGTTGAATTGTGGATAGTTAAATAGTGAATAGTTAATAGTTAATAGGTAAATAGTTGAATAGTGAAATAGTGTATAGTGAATAGTGATAACTGAATAGTTAATAGTGATAACTGAATAGATAATAGTAAATAGTAATAGTTAATAGTAAATAGTTATTAGTAAGTAATGAATTAAAGATAGTTGAATTGTGGATAGTTGAATTGTGAATAGTTAATAGGCAAATAGTTGAATAGTGAAATAGTGATAACTGAATAGTGAATAGTGATAACTGAATAGTTAATAGTAAATAGTTAATAGTAAATAGTTATTAGTAAATAGTGAATAGCAAATAGTGAATAGTTATTAGTAAGTAGTGAAATAAGAATAGTTGAATTGTGGATAGTTAAATAGTGAATAGTTAATAGTTAATAGGTAAATAGTTGTATAGTAAAATAGTGAATAGATAATAGCAAATAGTGAATAGTTATTAGTAAATAGTGAAATAAGAATAGTTGAATTGTGGATAGTTAAATAGTGAATAGTTAATAGTTAATAGGTAAATAGTTGTATAGTAAAATAGTGAATAGATAATAGCAAATAGTGAATAGTTATTAGTAAATAGTGAATTAAGAATAGTTGAATTGTGGATAGTTAAATAGTGAATAGTTAATAGGTAAATAGTTGAATAGTAAAATAGTTAATAGTGATAACTGAATAGTTAATAGTAAATAGTGAATAGATAATAGCAAATAGTGAATAGGTATTAGTAAATAGTGAATTAAGAATAGTTGAATTGTGGATAGTTAAATAGCGAATAGTTAATAGTTAATAGGTAAATAGTTTATCAGTTAATAGTTAAATAGATGAATAGTAAATAGTGAAAGTTAATAGTAAATAGTGAATAGTTATTAGTAAGTAGTGAATTAAGAATAGTTGAATTGTGGATAGTTAAATAGTGAATAGTTAATAGTTAATAGTTAATAGGTAAATAGTTGAATAGTGAAATAGTGAATAGTGAATAGTAATAACTGAATAGTTAATAGTAAATAGTAATAGTAAATAGTGAATTAAGAATAGTTGAATTGTGGATAGTTAAATAGTGAATAGTTAATAGTTAATAGTTAATAGGTGATAACTTAATAGTTAATAGTAAATAGTTGTATAGTAAAATAGTGAGTAGATAATAGCAAATAGTGAATTATTATTAGTAAGTAGTGAATTAAGAATAGTTGAATTGTGGATAGTTAAGTAGTGAATAGTTAATAGTTAATAGGTAAATAGTTTATCAGTTAATAGTTAAATAGATGAATAGTAAATAGTGAATAGTTAATAGTAAATAGTGAATAGTTATTAGTAAGTAGTGAATAGTTAGTAGTAAGTAGTGAATTAAGAATAGTTGAATTGTGGATAGTTAAATAGTGAATAGTTAATAGTTAATAGTTAATAGGTAAATAGTTGAATAGTGAAATAGTGAATAGTGAATAGTAATAACTGAATAGTTAATAGTAAATAGTAATAGTAAATAGTGAATTAAGAATAGTTGAATTGTGGATAGTTAAATAGTGAATAGTTAATAGTTAATAGGTGATAACTCAATAATTAATAGTTAATAGTAAATAGTTGTATAGTAAAATAGTGAATAGATAATAGCAAATAGTGAATAGTTATTAGTAAATAGTGAATTAAGAATAGTTAAATAGTTAATAGTTATTAATTAAATAGTTAATAGTTAATAGTTCATAGTTAATAGTTAATAGATAAATTGTTAATTGATAAATAGTTAATAGTTAATAGTGAATAATAAATAATGGATATTAATATGCACATGACTAAAATAAATAATATAAATATAAATATATGAATTAGTATTTCACCCGAACGTGCGCGAGTTGAACTCACATTCGCCAAATGAGCCGGTGAATGTGCACATTCACCGAAACATGCACATTTACCGTAACATATATACTTTTATATTTATATATTTATAATGATAAATTTATTATTTTTCAGTCAGTGCTAGTCGAGACCCAAGATAAGGCCCTACGTAGGATATCTGAGCTTCGAGAACAGTGCTCGTTAGAACAACAAGCAAAGGCTCATTTAGAAGCTGCCTTAAGAATGGAACTCGATGATAAAGACTGTCTCATACAAAGTCTTAAAACAAAATTGGAATCAGGTAATGAATTTTATTCAAAATTGGAAAACATGCACGATTCATCAAAAATAATAATTATCTAACAATATTTATTAACAAGATATTTTGGAAAATTGATAATGCATTTCATCAAGTTCATATGGATATAAAATATTTTCTAAATTTATTACAAGCATTTAGATTTTGGAACAAAAACAATTTCGTGCATGTTAAATTAAGATTGCAAATAAAAATGTACATTTGTTTATAAAATTATTTATACACGTATATATATATGTTTATTTTTAATTAGTATTTGTATATTTGTATTCAAGTACAATTCTCAAATTATGCACAAATATATTAGTACATTTTACGCCAAAACAAATGCTCAGAATAAATTTAGGTTTATCTCATATGTGTGATTGTTTCTATTATTTATATTTAAATAATAAATATAATAATTTAAAAGGTATCTCCAAATATTCATTTAGAAACAAGCCATTTTTTTACATTACAAATCGTTTTTGGAAATTTTGGGGCAATTCTTCCCTTACAAAGCTTATAAAATAGCATTTTCATGGCAACGTTATGTCATGCATGTTATTGGTAGTGAAAATTATGAAAACGTCTATGTAATTGCTGTGCGTTCAGGCGTATTTTACATATAAACAAGCAAGGAAGAATCTTATGATAACAGAATCTTTGATAATGCAGTTATCATAACATATTTCATTGCTTGTTAACAACCCATAGGGTAGTTATGGTAATGGGCCAAAAATCGATCAAATTTTTGCATTTCTCGACGTTTTGAAGGTTTCTGAACATTTTACTGGCATACCTCAGAAACTAAATGGATGTGTGTGTGTTTTGTATGTCCGCATTTTTTCTTCCACGTTTTCGGTCGCACGGATCAACCGATTTGAATGGTTTAAAAAACCTTCGATCCCTATTGATAGGGAGATGTGCTAACTAGTTTTTGGCAAAGGCAGGTCCAGCCGTTACGGAGATACGGAGCAAAGAGTGCAGAAAATACAAATCGAGTTTTTGATAGAACGGAGTATCGGATTTGAATGATCTAAAAAACAATCAATTTGTAATGATTTAGAGAAGAGATGATTAGTTTTTGGCAAAGACAGGTCCCGCCATTTCGAAGATACAGAGCTAAATGTGCAAAAAATGGCAGTTTTTGAGTGAACTAAGCGTCCGATTTGAATGATCTAAAAAACTTTCTGCTTGTATTGACAAAACAATTGCTTCTGAGGATAAAAAATGATTACATCTTTTTTTTATTTTCTATAAAATAATTTTGTAATTTTAGATTAAAAATTCAAATAAAAAAATTACTCGGACTAAGCACAGTTTAAGCGCCACTCTGGTACAAATGTTTACCCAAGTGTGTTTAGGCTGTACTGGAGCACTTTTCCAATTTTGTGAAAACTATTCAAAAATGTGAAAATGCCGCCAAGCTAAGCACAGTCTAAGTGAAAATGTCGCACAGAATTATTTGGAAATTCGCTTAAACTGTGACTATACGGGAGCACTTCAATTCAATTTTGTGTAAATTAGGCAACTATTTTTTTTTTTGAAACTGAATTCGAAATGAAATGACGATTGTTAATGTTATGGAGATAAATTGATTTATGATTTATATTTAATTTGCTCAGATATAACAAGATAGGAAAAATCAAATGAAAGTTACAGTATTTGTAATAATATATTTGAAAACGTTTAAAATTTCTCGAATATTTCATTACGGTACGGGAAGTTCCAGCAATTTGCCTTAAGCCACGCCTGATCGCACAGCAAATAGATAGACATTTTCATAGTTTCACTACCAATATATAAGCATAAGATAGAGTTGCCATGACAACGCTATCATATCGCCTATGTTACGGCATATAAATAAATTTGATACATGCAGACTATTATATATTATTTATATTTAAATATTAATTATATTAATTAGTTCATAAGGTGTCATCTCTAAATATTCATTTACAACCGAGTTTTTATATTACAAATCTTTTCTGCAAATTTAGATTCAATTAAATCCATGTTATAAATAATTTTAAGATTAAATTTCCTCATCGCCAAGGTATCTTTTTTCCCAAATATGCTGAAAATATTTCTTTTAGAATTCGAAGACTCCCTGATGAGTATTTCCAACAAAAGTATAGAAGACAGCAACCAACAATCCAATATGCTGATAGATCTGAACTCACCCAACGTATCAGACAGTGTTGACTCTCTAGATCAATCCGAGAACATCCAAAAACTGGAAAACGATTTAACCAAGTACAAACAAGATTTAGAAAAACAACTGGAAATGAACCAGAATCTCGAAGACAAAGTACAGAAGTTGTCCGCAGATTTGACACGTTATGAGAGTCAATTTGGGGAATACAAAATCAATTTCGATGCCAAAGTCATTGAGGCTGATCATTACAAAGGAGTCGTTAAAGAGTTGGAGGCAAAATTATTGCAGAAGTCATCGGATTATGATAAGTTGAAGGCTAGTGAGGAAGAAAATGCTTTATCAATAGCTGAAAGTAAGCAAAATATGCACAAGGAATTGGAGAACCGAGAAAAAGATGTCAAGTTGTTGACAAAGAAGTTGCAAGACTTGGAAAAGTGCACCCAGGACTATTTGACTTTAACCGATAAAGTGAAGAGTTTAGAAAATACTTTGAGTAAAGAAAGTGCGGAATGGGAAGGTAAATTAAAAGTGGCTTTGAATGATAAAAAAGACTTAGAAGGACGCTTGAAAATTTTGCAAAGTGATGTTAAAAAATTAGATGATGAGAAGTCTGAACTGACAAAGTCTTGTAAGTTGAAAGATGATAAAATAGCAGATTGTTTAAAAGAAATTGATAGTTTAAAAACTGCTAAAACAACCACTGACCAACAACTAACCAAAAATTCTAAAGACCTTAACGAGCTGTCTAACAAAATCTCATCCTTGGACTGGAGCATCAAACAACTAGAAAGCGAACGAATAGCCTTGATACAAAAATGCGACCTGCTTGTTAAAGAAAATGAAATACTTACGGACACCAAAGAAAAATTAAAACACGTCTCCGACACGTTGCTTTTGGAAAAACAACAAATACACCAAGAACTCATGATTGCTCAGCAATGTCTACAAGAAGCCAACATAGATGCACAAAGTATGAAGAAAGAAATTGATGCTTTAAAAAGTGGCCAAGAAACTACACGATGTGTTACCGAAGGTAAAGTCCAAAACGAGTTAAAAAGTGTCCGTGACAAGTTACTGGAAGCTGAAAAAGCTTGCCAGAACTTGCAGCAGGACTGCTCGCTGCTCCAGACCGAAAAAGCAAACACTCAGTTTGAATTATCAAATTTACGAACTACTTTACTGGTTCTCAAGCATGTTTTGGACAATCCTCAAGAGACAATCGATAAAGACAAGTTTGTCCACGACAATCAAGGTCCGGTCAGTGTTAACGATCTACAAAATCGCGCCATCAAAATTTTACACGAAACAAAACAAAAGTTGTCAGAATTCATCCAAAATGACACAAAGTTGACAAAACTGAACGAAAATTTGCAAAAGCGTCTGGAAAAACTTGAAAGTGATGATGTGAAGAAGTTGCAAGAAAAGGATAGTGAAGTTTTGGACAATGTGAAAAAGTTTGAAAGTTTACAAGCCAAGTATGATGAAGTTTTGGATAAGTGGGAAAAAAGTGAAAAGGCGACCAGTGAAGCGAATTTTACTTTGCACAAAACCGTGGAAGACTTAGAACGACTAAAAGACGTGGAGAGGAAGTTTTTGGAGACTGAACGCGAATTTGTTGACTTGCAACAAAAATATGATGATGTTTTGGTTAAATTTAATGCCAATGAAGAGTTGTTGAAGCAAACCAGGGAAGAGTTAACAAGTTTAGAGAAAAGTTTGCAGAAAGATGATGATCTTAGTAAACTACAAACAGTGCACAAGGATTGCTTAGAACAACTAAAACAAAACCATGGCGTTTCGGAGGAAACAAATACGAAACTACAAAATGCTTTAGAAAATTCACTTAAATTAGAAAAAAATTTGGAAAACCTACAAAAAATTTTACAGGAACGCGAGTCAAAATTAACACAAGTTTCAAATCAAGCGCAGGAATGCCATAAAAATCTCGAAAAATCAAATAAAAAACTGCAAAACTCTTCTATCGAAATCGAAAAGTTAAAAACCAACCTGGACTTATCACTTGCCAAACTCACAACCACTCAAGAAGAATTGGCCAAGGTGAACCAGGAATTAGATAGTTACAAAAGTGATCTGAAAACTCTCAGTGACAGTTCCGAGGAAGTCAGTAGTGAAAGCAGGAAGTTGCAGGAGGAGTTGGCAGCGAGCAAGAAGAAGTTGGAGGAAGTTGAAGGAGTTTTGAGGAAGAGCGAAGATTCCAGGTCGAAGGAAGTCGAGTCGTGGAAGTTGAAAAATGAAGAATTGAGCGAGAAGTTGCAGAAGTACACTAGGGACTTTTGCGAGCTGGCGGGTTTAGGTGAGTTTAAGGAAATAAATGTAATGGTAATAATTTATATTATATTCAAATTTAAAATGAAATGCTCAGAATAAATTTAGTTAGTTCTAAATTATGTGGTAGAGTTTTAATTATGTAATAGGTGGGTCGGAAGGTAATGTCGTGTCGCTTGTAATTTAGTTTACCACTTTGGTAAAGTTTCTCAGAACCAATTTTCTTTAATTTTGTCCTTTTTTACAAATTTAACCTTTGAGGCTTTTGGACAACGTCTATTGATTTTGGACAAAACTTGCAAATATCTTTAATATCAATATCAAGAAGTATTTATTCTGATTTTGGACATTACCTCTGACCCAATCTAGTTTTACCTACATGTATGAAGAATGAATGTTAATGATAAAATTATTTTATAATGAATGAATGATATATTGGTGTGTCTTTAGTTATTCCGGATTTTGCAAGAAATTGAGGAAGTTTTTCATCATGACTAGTGCGAAAATGTTGGAAGAAGAATATCTTCGAACAGTCATCGTTCAATTACAGAATGACATTGCTAGGTGATTAAATCAAATCACTTATTTATCATATTTTCATAAAAGGTAGAGCGGGTTAAAAGTTCCACCATTGTTATTCCAAAAACAAGTAAAGTTTAGAATTTTTTATCGATACTATTTTAAAATAAAAGGTAAAAGGGGTGTAACCAGCCATCGAGATAATCGGATTCATTGTCAAATTTTAAAGTATTTTTTTTTCATCGTTGGTTATTTTGGTTTTGTTCACCCTTGTTTAGTTTACAATACTCTAGAATAGCTTACATGTGGTAAGGGTAAAAAGGACCAACTAAACCTTTACACTGGCGAAGTGTGAACAATAAGAAAATAGTAAGTGAAAAAGTAAAATTATTTAGAAGAAGCAATTACACAAAGAGATAAATTAAATTAATATTTTTAAAAGTCTGATAATGAATTCTTTGGACAAAGTTTTGAATATCACCACCAAGGGGTAAGAGGGGTCCAAAAATCTTTAAAAATTCGATCACGTGATAAATGGACGCTTCCTTATGAGCTAAAAAGGACATAATTGAGGACAAATTGTTAGAAAAGCAAAAAATATATATTTCTACAATGATCAACTAGCTGGGAATTCTACGGTTTTATCAATATAATTACAGAAAGTCAAATTGGACCTTCGTGCCCGCCCTACCCTATATTAATCAACAATAAAATTAAGTTTGAACAAATGCACTTAAGGGCACAACTAGTGTAACCGCCTAAAAAAATGTGATTTTTGGGAATTTATATTGAAAAAAATACTTTATCAATCATTTCAAAATTTTAAGAATATATTTATATACGTGTATGTTTTTAGAAATTTTTTGAAGAAAAAAAATAAATATATTTTAAGTTATCGTCGATCTCCAACGGCGTGAAAAAAAGCCCTTCACTGCTGCAGTGATTCCGGCCTTCTACGTGGATGAAATTTAAAAAAAAAATCTCGTTAAACTAGATAATATTGTCTGTAAAATGAACTACTATGAAAAAAAACAAAAATTGACAATACGGCGGCGTTTTAAAAAAGATTTAGTCAAATTTTACCCAAAGTTTTGGTGGTTTTTGGACTGCCAAAATTCGATTTTTGATCCGATAGTTCATTTTACGGAGAACTATATATAGAACATGTAAAAATTCGATAGTGAACGGATCATTTGTTTTTGAGTAATCGCTGCAGCAAATTCGAAAAATGCTGTTTCGAGAAAAACGCATTTGAAGATAAAATAATCGTTATACTATATACTACATATATACTCTTTTAACCCTCCGTCGGTCGGCGTGGTCTGGCCAGACTTTTTTCGACTTCAATTAAAAAAAAAAATACTTCTAATAATCCTATCGACTTGAAATTTCTTGACTTTTCCTAAAATTTCATTAGCTGTCGATGAATGAAAAAACCAGGACGAAAAAATGTACAGAAGGATAATTATAAGGATATTAACTTTTTTATATACTTCGAACGGTCGGAAAGGTCTATCTAGACCACCCATACATTTTGTATGAAATATACGCTTTTTGATATGTAAACCAGTATTTTGTTTTTTTTTCATGGTATTTTCTATTCAAACTGCGTTGTATATATTCTTTGCTATGTGTTGTAACATGAATGTTAGTATTTTCATGACGAGAGTTTCTTGAAAACCTACCAAACTAATCGGATGAGTAATGCACACATTATCAACATTTTTTCTACCCGTACTGCATTCGAAATTTTTTTTGGCAAACCTGTAGTGAAATTATATTTTCAACTTGAATTTTACAGCTCATTTCAAAGGCGACCCACCTCATTTCGTTTTCATTTGAATTTCACATTCATTTCAAAGGCGCCGAAAAAGAATAAATATTGTTTTTCATTGATATAAAATAGAAAAATTAACAAAAAAAGCAACGATTTTTTTATATTTATTGATTTTTTTATATAATATAATATGTAATATTTTTATTATAAGCAAGCTCAACACACGCAAAAGACGGTAAGAAAAAGAAAAAATCAAAACTATAAATATTTACTTCTAATAATCGTTAATATATAAGACACCAAAAACTCATTTATCCCATATAAATGCATGTAAAATGAATGGTGGTCCAGCCAGACCTTTCCGACCGTTCGAAGGTGAAAAAATATCCGACCGACGGAGGGTTAAATGGATGTAACTCAAAAACTATTTGAGATATCGATTTGAAATTTTAACATTAAGATTTAATCTACCGAGATATGAAATTGAAATTTTTTCGAAATTTCACACTAGTTGTGCCCCTTAATAGATAATTTTAATTATTTTTCTTTATAATCTTAATGCAAAGCCAACAATTATGCCTTGATCCTAGTATGTTTTCAAATTTATGTTTTACATACTTATTCTACTACTTTAGTCAATAATTTCTCATTTTTCCCCTATTTTTTTGTATGTATGCGTGTGTGTTTCTTTGTATGTATGTATGTCCTATCATCCGTCCCAGGTTGACCAAAGAGAAATCGACTCTAGAATCAACCCTCCGCAAATCCATGGTCAAAAAGCAAAGTCAAATCGACACCCTCCTCACCGAAAAGCAAGACCTTCTCGAACGGATGCACGTCATGGCCAGCGAGCACGCCTGCTCTCTCGATCTGAACGCCGTCCTGGACAACAGGTGCCAGAGCTCAGAACCCACCTGGACAGCGCCGAAAAGCGGTGCTTCGACCTCAAACTTAACTCGAGGCAACAAGATGTCTTACACGATAGGAAGGTGAAGCAATGCGAGACGGAATTGCTTAAGGTGAAAATGACTTGCACCAGACTGGAGAGTCAGTTGGACCAGGAGATCGAATCCAAGATGAAGTTTAGGAACTCGATGAAAAGTCTGGTGGCACGGGAGGAGTCGATGAAGAAGTTGCTGAACAGTGTGCTGGCTGATCAGAAGCTGAAGGAACGTGTGGATCGCAGGGGTAGGTGTGGCAAGAGGACGATTTCTGCAGTTTTTAAAGGTTTGAGAGAGAAATGGAGTAATTTAGTCGATGAGATGAATTGGTTGAAAATTGAGGGTAATCTAAAATTTATTCTGAGCATTTTATATAAAACTAATCATAGGTAGTCTTAGAAATATAATGACAAAGTATCGATACTACTCAGTATCGAATATTGAGTGCTTTTCATCAAAAACAAACGTATGTGCAAGAAGGACCAAAACTTATTAAGTTAGAGTGGGTCGTTGACGGTTTGCCGTCAACGAAACGAAACGGTTATCGGGGTTTCGTCAACTAGTTAAATAACTAGTTATTTTTCAACCATAGTTATTTTTAACGATCAACGCTGGCCAACGTTAAGAAACTGATAGTTGAAATAACGGTTTCATTGAATGGTTGGTGAAATGAAAGGTGTTCTGATAAAAGTCAAGGTGAGGTTGTCAACTGATTTGATGAATAAAATGAAATAAATGTGAATTGTCACATTTATTACATATATATATATATAGATATATATATATATATATATATATATTATATATATATATCATATTTATTATTATTATAATAAATAATGGTTAATTTAAAAAACTTAAATATTTTCATTACAGCAAAGCCGTATACTAAAACATTGAATTTACATGTTATATAAAAATAGCAATATAAAAATATATAGTTACATAAAAATGTTATGAAAAATAAAAAATCAATTTTCAGGTTTAGTTTAAAAAAATTATTACAAGACAAATGCTATGAGAATTTTATGAAAAAATATTAACCATTGAAAACTATAAAAAATGTAACTGATTTTCTAAAATGAAACGATTTGGCGTATGTTGCAATTTCTTTTACTCGTAATATGTACCCGCACATCGGCAATATTACAAAAGCAGTAGCCTAACAATAAGCGATGTTCATAGTATTAGTTGATCCTTTCTGAGGACAGATCTAGGTTTTAGGTACCTGCGTACGTTCGTTTTCGACAAGGAACGAATTCCTATATCGCTGAATAACTAACTGGCCGCCATGATTTTCAACTAGTTATTTCGTTGCGACGAAACGGTTAGTTAGTTAACGAAGGAGAAACGGTTGAAAATAACCGTTCGTTGATTCAACGCCCATCACTAATTTAAGTACACTTGTTAAAGCAGCAGTTATTTTCGATATTTTAAAAATAATTAAAACAGTATTTTTTAACTTCCCGTAGGGTAGTTATAGTGATGGCCGAAAATCTAAAATGAAAATTTTTGCATTTCTCCACGTTTTGAAGGTTTCTGAACATTTTGGCATGCCTCAGAAAAAATGGATGTGTGTGTGTGTGTTTTGTATGTCCGCATTTTTTCGTCCACGTTTTCGGGCGCACGGATCAACTGATTTGAATGCTTCAAAAAACATTCGATTCTTATTGATGCGGAGATGTGCTGATTAGTTTTTGGCAAAGGCAGGTCCAGTCATTACGGAGATACGGAGCAAAGAGTGCATAAAATACAAATCGAGTTTTTGAGAGAACGGAGTATCGGATTTGAATGATCTAAAAAACATTCAATTTGTAATGATTGGGAGAAGAGGTGATTAGTTTTTGGCAAAGACAGGTCCCGTCATTTCGAAGATACAGAGCTAAATGTGCAAAAATGGCATTTGAGTGAACTAAGAGTCCGATTTGAATGATTCAAAAACTTTCTACTTGTATTGACAAAACAATTGCTTTTGAGGATAAATGGAAAATTATTACATCTTTTTCTATTTTGCATAAAATATTTTTGTAATGTTGGATTCAAAATTGAAAAAATTATCCAGACTAAGCACAGTCTAAGCGCCACTCTGGTACAAATTTTTGCCCAAGTGCGTTTAGGCTGTTTATGTACTGGAGCACTTTGAACTAACCGATTTGAATGATTCAAAAAACATTCGATTCTAACTGATGGAGAGATATGGTGATTAGTTTTTAGAAAAGGCAGGTCCAGCCATTTTGGTTATACGGAGCAAAAAATGCAAAAAATTGCAGTTTTTGAGCGAACGAAGTGTTCGATTTGAAAAATTTAATCAATTCTTCATTTTATAAAGAAATTATTAAAATTGGACGTCTATTCTCTCAAAAACTGAATTACAATTTTCTGCACTCTTTGCTCCGTATCTCCGAAACGGTTGAGCCTACCCTTGCTAAAAACTAATCACCACTTCTCCCCATTATTACGATATGAATGTTTTTGGATTATTCAAATCGGATGATCCGTTCTCTCAAAAACTCGATTTCTATTATCTGCACTTTTTGTTTAGTATCTCCGAAACGGTTGGACCTGTCTTTCCAAAAACTAATCAGCACGTCTCCCTATCAATAGGAATCGAATGTTTTTTCAATCATTCTAATCGGTTAATCTGTATTTTCGAAATCGTGGACGCAGAATTGTATCCGCACACACACACGCACGCAGACTAGTGATGGGCGTTGAATCAACGAACGGTTATTTTCAACCGTTTCTCCTTCGTTAACTAACTAACCGTTTCGTCGCAACGAAATAACTAGTTGAAAATCATGGCGGCCAGTTAGTTATTCAGCGATATAGGAATTCGTTCCTTGTCGAAAACGAACGTACGCAGGTACCTAAAACCTAGATCTGTCCTCAGAAAGGATCAACTAATACTATGAACATCGCTTATTGTTAGGCTACTGCTTTTGTAATATTGCCGATGTGCGGGTACATATTACGAGTAAAAGAAATTGCAACATACGCCAAATCGTTTCATTTCAGAAAATCAGTTACATTTTTTATAGTTTTCAATGGTTAATATTTTTTCATAAAATTCTCATAGCATTTGTCTTGTAATAATTTTTTAAACTAAACCTGAAAATTGATTTTTATTTTTCATAACATTTTTATGTAACTATATATTTTTATATTGCTATTTTTATATAACATGTAAATTCAATGTTTAGTATACGGCTTTGCTGTAATGAAAATATTTAAGTTTTTTAAATTAAACCATTATTTATTATTAATAATAATAAATATGATATATATATATATATATATATATATATATGTAATAAATGTGACAATTCACATTTATTTCATTTTATTCATCAAATCAGTTGACAACCTCAACTTGACTTTTATAAGAACAAACTTCATTTCACCAACATTCAATGAAACAGTTATTTCAACTATCAGTTTCTTAACGTTGCCAGCGTTGAATCGTTAAAAATAACTATGGTTGAAAAATAACTAGTTATTTAACTAGTTGACGAAACCCCGATAACCGTTTCGTTTCGTTGACGGCAAAACCGTCAACGACCCACCTCTAACGCAGACACACATATATCCATTTTTGCTAAGGTATGCCAAAATGTTCAGAAACTGTTGAAACGTATATATATACAAAAATTTTGACTTTTGATTTTTTTGCGATTACTATAACATCTTACGAGAAGTTAAAAATGGTACGGGAAATTCCAGAAATTTGCCTGAAATATGCCATGCATCCGTTTATGGAATAAGATAACCTAGAGAGGCATAAATGTTTTTTTACCAAAAATGATACGTCTTTCTAATTACTTGCACAAAAACTATCGACATCGACAAAATTATCGAACTGAAGCATCGAAATACCAGAAGTACTTAGTATCGACAACAAAGTATCGATACTTATTTAGGGCATTCGATTCAATCGTTCTTGCACTAATCATATTGATGTAAGTTATCGAAGAGAAATTTCCTATTTCCTAAGTTTATTAACTTTTTCTTGACAACAATTTTTGCTGTTTATCTTCATACTGGTATATCGAATAATCAAAATAATTATAACTTGTTTATCTTCATACTGGTATATCAGGGATTACCATTAAAAATGGCAATTTCTGAATTCGAAACGAGACCAATGTCAATAAAATCCTCCTATCATCAACGAATTTTCATTAATCCATCTTTTATGCCATCAGATCCTGCCTCGACTTCTTCCCAAAACAGCGATCAAGTTTTACAAGAGTTGCGTGCCAAATTGGCTGATTTGGAGACCAGGTGCCAAAGTCTTGACGAAATGAAATCCGAAAATGAAACCTTGAAGAGCAATTTGGAGAAGGTGCAAAATGAAAAAGACGAAGCCAGCAAGGAATTTACTACCACTATCCAGAATCTGGAGCGTGAAGTCACGAAATTGAAAGATGACAAGGTGTACTTGAATAAAACTCTTACAGACATGGAGGAAAAAAATGCTGGCAAACAGGAGGAACTAGAAAGGTCGGTAGAATAGTCGTAGACGAATAAACCTAGACAATATTAGAATACCTTGTGTTCATATAGACGTTTCTCTCCCGACTTTTACGTTCAGAAGGAATACTTAAAGGGTCCTCCGCTCGACGTGATGGCGCTGCTTTTGGCATTCAAATTAATAGCGCAAAATTTGAAATAAAAATTAATGAATTTTAGTACACGGGTATTTGAAACTAAATTTGGTATTACAATCGTATTATGTTTTAAAACATGTACTAGTTAATATCTACATATATATAAAAATAAGTCGGATTTTCCTTCCTGACGGTAATCAGAACGCACGATTTCGACAATTTTGCATTCGTTGGAAAGGTCTCGGGCTCCGCAAAGTTGATATCTAAGAACATTAGTGGTACATGGCATCATGCCTTAATGCAAATTGCTGGAACCACGCACCGTAATTAAAAATTCGAGTAATGACATTAGTGAGAATTATCAGAATTATGCTTGGTTAGGTCAACGAGCAATTCTTGCCGCAAAGAATAATTATGTACACGCACTGAATTTCACCATTCAATCAAAAAGTCCTGGCGATTTGGTGCCATACCAATGATTCCGACTGGTCTTCCGTTCGACTTCAAACGATTGAAATTTTCAGTTCGCCTTGCGTTCGCAATAACAAGTCGCAAGGCCAATCGCTTAGTGTTTGCCGGATAAATTTCAAATAGATTATTTAGAAAATCATTGTTGTTCACATGGGCAGTGTACGTTTCCTGTTCACGAGTTGGAAAACCATCCGCTTTGTTTGTGTTAACGTCAGACCAAAAAACAAAAAATGTGGTTTACCAAAGAGCACTTCAATGAAACGGATAATTTGCGGTTTCACTTTCATTTACTTAGAGAAGTTCAACTAACAAACACTTCATTTTTGTAATCGAAATAAATTCATTACTGTTGTATAATAAAATGAAATTTTTCCTTTTCAAATACGAACAAACAAAACATTTCTTCATCTTTCTCACCATATGGTGGCGAAATGGAGTTCGTCGGGTTTGCTAGTCATATTATAATAAATATACAATCAAATCGAAATATATATCAACAAATACACCGCCGGTTTATATATAATAGTTATCATATCTAATTTACTGGAATAACTTCTACACTTTTTCTACTTATTAATATAAATATTTAATGTAATTTAGTGAATAATGCAATATAGAGTTAGTTCATTACATCGTCTGTCATTTCTAACTCTCATTAACTAATAATCATCCCATGCAAAATTTGACATTCTTAAGCAATTTTATTTTCTCCCAAGTATATTAAGATCCGTGTGAAATGGTAATCCAATTTTAAACAGCTCGAAGATTTCCATTTGTGTATTATGTCTTTCTTATAGAAGCTTATACTTGATTTCTTACACAATTTCCTAGAACTGGCCTCTTTCCTTAAAGTGTATTATGATTAGACTAATATGTCAATGCACTACATAATAATTGAATTTGAAGCTGTTCTATTCATATTGTTAAAGGGCTATGCATTTGAGAGCAATTCCTGATGAAATCTTTATTAACAAATGTACAAACACAAATGAACACAAATGAAAAATCAAAAATAACACTGTCGTTTCTTACTAACCAATATAAAATATTTGATAATTCTTTTTCATCGGCTCACTATCGCCAAATTTGCTGAACGAGGATTTTGTTCTGAAATAATAGGCCCTGCGAATAAGTAATTTTATAAATGTTTTATCTCTAATCTTTCTTCCTTCACCAGGTTGCGAGAAGATATCCAATCTTTGCAAGCGTCCGTTCAAGATCAGATAGACCTACAGAATAGTTTAAGTGACTTGGAATCTGCAAAAAGTGTCCAAAAAGATGAGCTGTATCAACAACTATCAGCCGAGAACTGCCAACTCCAATCAAAACTTCAAGAAGTCTCATCGATAACAAATATGCTTGAAAACTTAAAACAAGAGAACATAGAACTCACAGAAAAACTGAAATCTTTAGAAGAAAAATACGAAAACACTGAACGCTCTGTAGAATCCAAAATATCAAATTTAAACCAAGAAATAGATTTACACATCGAGAGGATAAAGTACTTAGAAGAAAAATGTAAAGATTACGATTCTATCAAAAAGATTAACGTAGAATTAAACAAGGAAACACAGGAGTTGACGAGGAAGATCAGCGAGTTGGATGTATCTCAAAATGCTTCTGGAGGAGAAAAGAATCAGAATCAAAATACTGAAGTCGAGGTTAAGTTGGCACAAATTATGAAAGAAGTTGATGAGGTTTCAAATAAAAACCTGTTTTAGAACAGAGGTGTAGTAACATGAGTTTATTGGAACAAACAAACGAGAAATTGAGGCTTGCAAATGAGAAGCTGACGAGGCAACTAGATGACACTCTAGTGAGTATTAATGTCGTTTCATCGTGATTAGTTGTTTGAAAAAAAAACGGAAATTTGCAGAGTGGCATGGTAAAGGACCGAAAATATAATAGTTCGTGTAAAATTTAACAAAAAAGTTAAAATAAAAAATGCATTTTTATCTTAATTGCCATGTGTTGTTGTCAGTTTTTTATATTAGTAACAAACTTTTTATATACAATATTTGGTGTTCTAATTTAACACTTTTAGTCTTTCTAAAGATTTGCCTTTTTTGAAGTACTATCTAATGAGTGTACATCTCAAAAATGAAAAATTCTGCCTATAAATATTTATTTTCGGGAAAAACGACCATCCAATGACTTTTTTTTAAAATTCTATCTATGAGTGTACATTGCAAAAATGAAACATTCTACCTATAAATATTTATTTTCGGAAAAAACGACCATCCACGGACTTTTTTTTTTAATTCTATCTAATGAGTGTAAATTTCAAAAATGAACAATTCTACCTATAAATATTTATTTTCGGAAAAAACAACCATCAACGTTTCTACCTAAATAAAACACTTATAAATAATTAATTTATTTCAATGTATATCTGAATATTGAACGAAAACGTACTTAGTTTAAACATTATTACTCAAAGCTAAAAAAAAACAGTAAAAATGTAACAAAATAGTTTAAATTAAAATAATATAAGATTAATAACATATAATAATAAATACAAGGTTATTAATTAAAATATTTTGTTTTAGAATAAGATAAAATAAAATGCAAAAAGCTAAAAAACTAAATAAACTCAATAAGCTTTTTTGTTAAATTTTACTCAAATTGATATAGCTAGATGAGATAAAATGTTTTTATTTCAAATAAAAGTAGCTTAAGTAACACCCCATTACACAAACTATCTGCGAATAAAAGTCCCATTAAAATCGGTTCAGCCGTTCCAGAGATTAGTCCAAACAGACAAAATATTTTAAAATTGTTATTTTGTTATATATGCATGTAGTTAATACTAATATTTCAATATTACAAACAGACACTACAATTTCATAAGTATAAATAAAAATTAGTGGTGTATGGCATCGTGCCTCAAGGCAAATTCCAGGAATTTTCAGTACCGTAATAAAATGTTCGAGGAATATTAAATGTTTTCAAATTGATTGTTATAAATACTGTAACTTATATATGTTTACAAAAAAGTAAATAAACAAAACTTAATCAATGGAATTTAAAATGAAGGGCATTGTCTAATATTTATAAGAATTATATAAACTGAGTTGCAAAGTTAAAATTATTTATTTTAAGTATATTAGTGAAAAAAATTAAATCTGAATTGTTTTCGATATTCCAAAAATTGAAAATAAAAAAAAAAAATTTTTTTCCCCCAAAAACAATTGTTTCGTCAACACAAGCAGAAAGTTTTTTGAATCATTCAAATCGGATGCTTAGTTCCCTCAAAAACTTCCATTTTTTGCACATTTAGCTCGGTATCTCCGAAACGGCTGGACCTACCTTTACCAAAAACTAATCACCACTTCTTCCAATCATTACGAATTGAATGTTTTTTGGATCATTCAAATCGGTACTCCGTTCTCTCAAAAACTCGATTTCTATTTTCTGCACTCTGCTTCGTATCTCCGAAACGGCTGGACCTGCCTTTGCCAAAAACTAATCAGCACAACTTCGTATCAATAGGAATCGAATGTTTTTTGAATCATTCAAATCGGTTGATCCGTAAGCCTGAGATCGTCGACGAAAAATTGTCTCCACACACACATCCATTTTTTCTGAAGTATGTCAAAATGTTCAGAAACCTCTGAAACGTGAAGATATGCAAAAATTTTCATTTTCGATTTTTGGCCCATTACTATAACTTACCCTACGGGAAGTTAAAAATAAGATATTTTTGTTTAAAACAAAAACATAAACTCTCGATTACATCAGCTACTTGCCAATAAAAGTCTCATCAAAATCGGTCCAGCCGTTTCAGAGATTAGCCTAAACAAACAAATTGACGGACAAAAATTTTAAAAAAATGTTAGCTGGTTTTAAAAACACTGCTACTTAAATATTACTAGCTTTTGTAAGCCAAATCCACCTATTTCTAACATCTTTTATCTTTTAGGTCACGAGAAGACATTCCGAAGGCATCACACAACTAACAGAGTTCGAGTACCTTAAAAATATTCTGTACCAATATTTATCGGAGGTGTTGGAGGAGTTGGAGCCAACACGAATAGTACCTTGATCAGGGTGATAGCTGCTGTTATGAAATTTGATGCTACACAAACGCAGACTGTTTGGATAAGGAAGCCCAGAGGAACACTTTGGTAAACCTTATTATATTCTCCTGATATCAAGCAGTATAACTCATATTTTATTATTATTTTTTTCTCCCTAGCTGGGTCAACTGAACCTCATATAGCAACCGAAGTCATTCATCTCTTCCTACTTCAACTACAACAACTATCATCTAGAATAAGCATCATAACCCAAAAAAAATCTGGACTCAAGACTGCGAACAATAATGCAGAGGCCAAAACTCACACTACTTGATAAGTGATAAATAACATGATTCGAACAAAACAATCGAGATAAATAAATAACTAAAAAAGCCAACCAATGTGTTCAGCATTTTAATGGATATATAGTTGGGTAATGGAGAATAATGGGGTAAGAGATTTATAGAGTATTTGGATTGAAAGTGGTCATTGTATTATATATATATATATATATATATATATATATATCTGTTCTGAACTCAGCAAATTTTCAATTTTTGATTCATGTCTCAGAGTTTCAGAATTACTCTAAATAGCAATTTGAATTGAACTTTGAAACATCAGGCAAAATTTTGAAATGTTAAAAATTTCTAAATTAACTTTAGAGTTCGAATACAAAACTGATA